GTCTTTGTCTCTGTCAACTACCATCCAACACTGTCTCTGTCTACAACCACCATCTCCGTCTCCGTCCACCATCATATTTCATCTCCGTCCACAACCAACGTTTCTGACTCTATCCACCATCCACCACCACCTCTATCACCATTCACCATTCACCATCACCTCCATCTCTATCCACAACCATTGTTTTCACTTTTTTCCACCATCTATCATATGCTTCAATTGTAACCATCATCTCCATCCGTAACCACCACCTCGAATCGTTTAGTCCATTTATTTTTTGGTAGCTTTAAAACTTATATTAACATGACTGATTTTTTGGAGTTGCACCGGCTCAATATTAAGTAAATTTGGTATGTCATATGGTAAAATTGTAATTTTTTTGACATGAAAATTATTATAATGACATTTTTGTAAATAAAACGGTTACTAACAAAAGATTTTAGAGTAAAATAGATATAAAAAACTAGAATTCGATTTTTGTCTTGTCCCTCTCTAATTATAGTATTTTGACAAAAACAAAAATGAAAGTAAAAAAGGTAAAAAACTCACCGTATGAGAACTTCTGATGAGAACATCGAAATCAATTCAACTGAATCTTAGGAGGAGATCATTAACGGACCCACTATGAAGCAAACTCCAAGAACAAGATCAGGCACGAAAAAACTAAGAGAGGAGTTCAACAAGTCTGTAGAGAATCTCATCACATTCATAGAGAATGAAGAACTTCAAGAGGATGAGATTAGCAAGAAAATACAAGAAGATGCTCAAGAGCAACTCCAGACTACAACTCTTCTTACGCATGTTCTTTAAGGAATTAAGGAAACCGCTTTGTTTACCATTTCAAGAGCAAATCAAGCTATCTAAAATTAGTCCAGAAACTCTCAAAGTACGTATTTTAATTTCTTTGAATAATTAACGTATTTCTTTTTCTGTTTTACAGAAATAAGACTGTTAGAGTTTATTTAAGTCTTTTAATTTTCGAGTCTGTTGCTTTGCACGTTTAGTCTTTTTATTATGTATTATTTTCGACCCTAGAAGGTCCCCAGCTGCTGGACTCTATATAAAGTCCCTTCTCAGCTTGTAACGTATTAAGTTTTTATGAAATAAAATGAGAATTTTCTTCTGAGAAAGAAACAACCGCCTCTCTTCTTCTTATGTGCGATTTAAAATTGAGTACTCCGACTTATCACAGATCTTCCATCATCTGTGTGGCGTCTATCAATCCATCCTACTATCCATTCCCTTCTTCAAAGAGAGCCTTTCGGCCAGTTAAAGAGTCACCATCAAATCCACTTCGTTTCATCAACCATTCCTTCGGATATCTAGAGAATGCCCTTTGGCCAGCTTTAGATTCATCATTATCCATCTCATTTTCGGATCCATCTCTTTGGATTCCTATAACATCTGGTATCAGAGATTAAAAGCTCCTAATCAGGTTTATCTATCCC